ATCAGGGATAGTTACAAGGTTACCAAAGAACTAGTAATTGATTTTTTTTTGTTCATGTATACCATCATTTCGGTAATGAATGAGAAAATGATTATTATTCCAACCCTACTAGTCATATCATGTCTAGTCCGACTAAGATATGTATTCGATGTAACATTCGACTTAAGCGAAAAGATTGAAGTGAAAGATAATTGAAGAGATCAATAGAAGCATCGTGATTGTTGTTAAAGTAAGAAACTTGTAGCTAGAATTGTTGCATGCTAGAATGTGATTATATCATATTAGAACATGAAGGTAAGTATATTCAAGTTTGGAATTTGACTCTAAAAGACCAGAGTCTAAGCATACCATCATATGTTGAGACATCATTAGAACATGTCCCATCGGTCTGTCACGGTAATTGAACTAAAGAGCTTATCTTAAGTTAAGGTTGTTTAAGAAGGACCAGGAGCCTCCAATAAGGATTTAGTTTGTAACTCGAAGTTTACGATTTAATGTCCAACAAAGTACGAAGAGCAGTTGTAAGGTCGAGCATCGTCTGAAGTCAAGAAATCCAAGAGTTAGATACTTATTTGAAGGAACATAAGAGTTATGGTTATTACCTAGGATGAAAAGATAATTTATTGAATCATTATAAAAGCCCTGCTTCGTTGATGATTCTGGGACGCAATCATCCTAAAGGAGAGATAGTTGTAACACCCACAGATTTGGGCATGTCAATTTAAAGATAATACGTGTTAAAATTTTTTGACAGAGTATTATTTAGACTAAATAATGTTAACCAAATTATAGTATATGCCATAAGGATATCATAGATATAAAGCACACTGAAATCCGACTTGTAATGAAGTAGTTATGAACCATCGAAATTTTGCGACAAAACCGGCACAACGCCGTGTATCGTAAAAAGTAAATTTTTGATACACTACTTTTTAGCCTTAGAGATCTAAACAAAAGTCGTAGTATATGTTAAACCGAGAACGTACATAAAAAAACATCCAAATCTGACATCGTTTGAGGAAGTTAGGATTTTTCCAAGATTTAGCATTGGAGTACACAACCCAAAAATCAAATATTAGATCGATCAATTTTTAGCCGACACAACCTAAATGAGAATTTAATATCTCATTAATAGGAGCTCAAGTATATAAAGTCAATCAAAAACGGACGTCGGATGACAAAGTTATGAATTTTTAACGAACTTTAACTGTCTAAGCCTATTAAAACATAACTTTAAAAATATATTCAAAATTAGCTGACTGGGTCTAAACGAAAGTTGTAGATCTCGTCGCTTCCTACATATGGATATAAATAATGTAAAAACGGAGCTCGTATGGAAAAGGGATAGATTTTATAAGATAATTAGTTTTTTGAGTGACCAGCGAGTGACCCGTGGCGCGATCTGAGCCACTGCTTTTTCCCCACGCCTTTCCACCAAATGGTGACACTTGGCACCTTAACACGATGAGTAAAGGCTCAGAACATGTCGTCTTGGTCAGTTCCCGACCTATAAATAGAGGCGCAAATGACCCCATTTCTTCACACCTTTCTAACTCTTCTCTCCCAAACCTCTCCAAAGCCTGCAGGCTTTTCTCTAGTCCTTCATAGGAGTTAGTAGCAAGTCCCGAAGCGCCAGAAAGCTACGAGAAGAAGAGCTTTTGGCTCAAAAGTTATGCCTGTGTAGAGCTCGGTTCCTCGCTGAACCCCATTGCTAGTGAGTTATGCTTATCCTAATTTAAGTATAACTTATGTTTAAGTTCATTATTGTTATTATGAACCTACAAACAAGATTTATCAGTGATTCAAAGTTGTTATACTGATTGACCTACTTACATGAGAAGTCTCTACAATGGTCACGTTGGCTTGGTTGTTGGATTTTAGAGAAGCTATATGTCGAAATGGTCCTACCTCTTAACTTTCCTACCTGGCTGATCCTTAATTAATGGATCATGAAAGTACACTTTGATTTATTTATGAATATAGACTAATAATTAGCCGCAATAAATATTAGATAGAAATCTAGTAATGATAATACTATGTTTCGTCGAAGGAATAGAAAATTGTTAGAAGTGAAGCGCTGCCTGAATTTCGAGTCGTCACATTAACTAATGAGTGTATAGTTACTTTCATCTTACACATAGATATGAACTATTAATATAAATTATGTGTTATGTGTGCATATTATCTGTGTTCTTGGTATCAATGTTGGATGAACCAAATACACATGTTTTATTTAATTTAAACTATGTATGTATTTTATACCTATAAAAATATGGGGTAAATATGGGTAAATGAATCATGAGAGATAAAACATGATATATATGGACATTGGTAGCTATGAAGTTAGTGCCCTATAGATGAACATTGGCAGTTATGCGACAAGCTAATGCTGTTTTTAAACTACATGTTCAGCAGATGTACTTGAAAAATCTTGGCAGCTACGCGTAAAAGATAATATTCGCAGTTGTGCTTACTAGAGAACATCATAATCCTAACAGATGCACCTAAATAATAATATTGGTAGCTGTGCCTAATAGATAGCCTAGGCAACTATGAACGTAGTGTTTATTGGATAAACCCTGACAGCGATGAACTTCGAGCCTGTTCCTTAGGACAATCTTTAAGAATGAATGAATGAAGAAGAGATGATTCTTAGGGTAGATCCTTAAGAATAAATAAGATAATGGGGATGAGAAGTTGGGTTAACTGTTTGATGATTAAACATAATAATTATATTTTTGTCGGTTGAAAACCCTATGTACTAACTATGTTTGTCAAGCCGACCCACTCAGTTTATTTGTATCACAAGTATCGATACGAAGATACATAAAACTAAGATATTTAAGAAGATGTAAATCATTAGTGTAACTGAATATAAGGTCTCTTAATGCTTATGTTTATGTATTGATGATGACATCGAACGTTTTTAATATAATAAAAACACATTTCTTCGAAAATTCGTTGATAATTTACTTATCATATATTTGGGAACAAATTTCGCAACATATTTCTTGAAAATGATATTCTGATTTTCGAATAGGGCATAAACAAATTAGTGTACTCTGCTTAGAAGGGGTAATTTTTGGTTTTGAGTACAACCACTGGAGCTTTATATCGCTAAAGGCTAACTTTTTTTTAAAAAAAAAATTAATTTTCTTTTAGAAATATATTTACTTACGAATTTAAAACCACATCTTTTCTCCTTTTGTTTCAATTAAATTCTCCTATACTTTCTTTATATATATATATATATATATATATATATATATATATATATATATATATATATATATATATATATATATATATATATATATATATATATATATATATATATATATATATTCCTTCATTCCATTCCATTTAACACTTATTTCTCTAAATTCCGATCCAAATCTTGAAAATGGATGTCATTAAATTCCGATCCAAATCTTGAAAATGGATGTCATTACTAAATGTATCTGCAGAATGCTCCCAAATCAAAGAAGTGTCATTGACTCGAAGATACATTGACACATTTGATAGTAGACACGTGAGTCAAAATATATTTTCATATTTTTGATGATCAGTTCTATATCATTCTTAGCAGCAGCTTGGGGTTCAAGTCTTTCAACCCATCATTTTTTTTTTCAAAAGAGAAAAATATGGAAGGAAAAGTGAAAGAATTTAATCTTATTTTCACTCACAAGATAAATACCCGAGAACCCGGAGTTTCCAACAAAAAAGTTTTACATGCAACAAAAAAATGTATATCGTGAATACCATTAACATGTAAGTTTTTCGGCACGAGATGGTGTGGATAATTTTACAATGTCACCGTTCCTTTTTTAGAATCAAAGAATTGCTTTTAATTTTGTGGTTAATGGTTTTTTAGTTATTTTGTTTGTCGTTTGTAGTCTCCTTTTAATTTATATTATTATAGTGTGGTTTTTTAATTAAATGTTATTTTTAATATCGTTTAAATTAGTATAACTTTATTTTAAAGATTAAAAAATAACAAACATGTTATGTTGTATTTAATTTTGTATTTTGTATTTTAATTTTATTAAAAATAGTGATGTGGATAGTGAATTTAGTGGGTTGTAAACTATGTAGGAAGGTTGATGTCGAACTGAATTGAATACTTTTGGACCAACCACTCCCTCCTTTTAGGCCATCATCAATGCATTGAACTCAAATGAACTTTTGGACCAACCACTCCCTCCTTTTAGGCCATCATCAATGCATTGAACTCAAATGAGTTCAATGGATTGAATATCTACATTCCACTCACAATACAATTTTATCTGTTAAACTTTATACTGCATTAAACCCAATACAATTTAATGGATTCTCACATCATTTATGTGTGCGTGTGAGGAGAGAGAGTGTGGAGTTCAATGGGGATTGAACTCCCCATTCTATTGAGTGTCATGTCATTAACTCACAATGAGGATTTTGAGTTTAATGGGATTAAAGTCTCCATTCAACTCCCCATTAAACTACCATTGAAGACGGTCTTAACAAAATCAAAGGTCGGCTATGCTTGTAATTTCCATATCAATCATTTTTACAAATTATACAAAAAGTGATTATGCACAGCTACCTCTAATTCGAGATAATTTATATAAAAAGCTAATAATTTAATTAGTTATCTTTAATATATTATATTTTTACTTTTAACACATGCTTAAAACCATTTTAATTAAAATCATATGTAAAAAGAGCTTGCGTAACCACCATCATTGATCCGCTACTGGCTACTTCTTACACCAAAGTTCCCAAATTATACGGCCTATAAACTAACATCATGATTATACATAACAAAAGTTTTTTTTTTAGATACATCTCGTCACACTAATTAAGGCATATATTCAATTCCAGTTACATATTTTCTGTCATAACTGAATGACACATGATTCTTTATTCTACATGCTCTCGTATTGAAGTGATGCATACAATACAAACTATGAAACTAATCTACAATTACGACAACTTTATTATTGTTGAACATAAGAACCTCAAGATCCTTCGTGTTTAAATACACAAATACGACTTGCAAGTTCCTGTATCTCATGGTCGCCTGCCACGCCTTTAAACTTACTAACGTCGAGTTGCTCAAGTTCCTGGCACCCTTTTATGATCATGATTAGAGTGTTCCTTTCAATGGTTGAGAACCTTAAATCTAGCGTCTTAAGGTGTGGCAGCTGAGACGCTATCGCTAAAGCCACATCTTCATCCAATAAAGGAACATAAATACTCAAATGATTGAAGTTTCGACAGTGCTTACTAATGTTGGCAATGGTTTTCTTCAATCCGATCAAGGACGCAATCTGTAAAGCCTCTAAATCTTTCCAGTTGCAGATAGAGTTTGAGACTTCAAAGTTAATCACATAGCTCAAATAGCTCGGTAAAACCAACAGCTTTAAAGAGGGACATCTACATATCAGAAAAGAAAAACAATAGTAATTTGGACGACATGAATTAAGGGTGAAAAACGATACCCATTTTGTGATTTCACACTTGTGTAAACTTACCGTTGAGCGATCCATGCAATTTGGCCTTCTTTAAGAAGCGATTTAGGGTGAAAGACAATCGCGGTTACAAGTCCATGGCTACGCCCGATGGCAAATTTAACGAACTTTTCAAAAGACTCATCTGCGTATTTGGTTTGATCAAGTGGCACCACAAGACAACAATCAGACCATGAATCCTTGTCTAATTCCAATCTAGGAATCGGATGTTTGGAACTTCGTAAACAAGGAGATTTAGTAAAGACGAGTTGTTCCCAACATTGAGGATAGAATGTAGCATCATACCAAGACTTGCAGACAAAAGGACAAGTCTCTACAAGTGATTCAATTCCGACTCTTCCAAAAACCTCAACCAGACAGTGAACTGGCAGCTCGTTCCAATCTCTTTGTTCCATCTTCGAAAAACGAAAGAAATCAAAATATATTAAATGTAAACCATATTTTATTGTTGTAACTCTAATTATGAATATAAATTACAAATAAAACCAAATAAAATATTCAATGTTCAGTACTGTGTATTTGTCGTAATATAAAGGTGTATATTATTGTAATTTTGTTAGATAACTCATATCATATCGGGACAAGCATATAATATGAAAATTAAAAATAAAAAGTTAAAGGTAAATGAAATTATTGGTTCAGGGAAACCCACTTGTAACCTCATCATCATCAACTACTTTCTTTTTTCAATTTTTTATTTCACCATGAGAATAATGCTGATCACCTTTCTCGCAATCTAAGCAACATGCTTAATTAGTTGAAGAAAATCATGTTATAGGAGATGAATGAACATAAATGAATAAACTGAAACAGTATAAAATTGGAAATTAAAGAATGAAAACCAATTGATATATGCTTAACGGAAGAATATAGATAGCAAACGGAGTTGATATGGCTCAGAAATAATACCAAACAATTCCGACCAGGATGGAAAATGGCGCACTATGTTAGTACATAATGGCTGATGTGAGTTATATATATAATGTAAGATATGTGTTACAATAACATACATTTATTAACATATTGTGGAAGATATGTGTTAAGGAAGATGGAGCATTTGTTAACGGCAGAAATGTATTAAAATATAGTGGTGCCATGCCCATATATCCAGTTCGAACTTAACCTCCATATTTGACCTTTGAACTAATAATCTTTCTGGCCGTTGACTCCGGCCACTAAATTAAAGTATAATCACAGCTAAATAGTTTAGGTTGTTCATGTTAAAATATTTTATCATACCAAAAATAAGTCATCTTGTATGTTATATACTCGTGACGTAATAATATTAATAAGAGAAATAGACAACATATTATAACATCTTTTAATTTTTATATCATATTTTAATATTTATAAAAAGGGAAAATAACACCAATGCCCTACAAACTTTCTAAAGTTTACCCTTTGAGTCTCTAAAGTTTTTTTCAAATTTTATAGATCCCTAAACCAAGATATGACCTACTTTTTTAATCTATGTCAATCTGTAATAGTTGGTTCAGTGATATTTTAGATCAAAAAAAGCTACATTGTACCGTTATAAAACCAAAAAAATAAGTTCGAGGATTAATTTGTACCAAAAAAACTCTCATTTTTTTCTATAGTTGATTTACACTCAATTTGTATTGATTCCCAAACTTATTTTTTTTAGCTTTATAGGGTATAAGGTGAGTTTTTTTTTTTTTTTTTTTTTTTTTTTTTTCTAAAATGTCACTGAACCGGTTATTATAGATTGGCAGCAACCTAAAGAGCAGGTCATATCCTAGTTTAAGGATCCATAAAACAAAAAAAAAAAAAAAAAAAAAAAAAGAACTTTAGAGAATCAATGGGTAAACCTAGAAAGTTCGTAAGTAATTTGTGTCATTTTCCTTTATAAAAACGAATATTTAATCAAAACATGCTATGTAAATTAGTTATAAATTAAACACAATATTTAAAAACTAAAAATAACATACACATAAATAACAATACAAGAAAAGTTTATGATAGTCCTAATTTAAAAACATAAAAATGATACTATAGTCTTGGTTTAAATATCTTTTGAGGATCGTCTCATTCATCACATAAAGCACTTCTAAATATCAGGCCGCCCAATCTTCCTTGCTACTACGAAGAATTGTCAAATCATTTGTCATCTGATCTTTCTCTTTTTCACTACAAAGGAATTCCAAGTTTTGATGTTGTACTTCAATTCCTTCTTTTACTATTAAATTGGGTGTCGAACTTATCTTTCATTTGCGCCAACTCTTATACCCTTCTTTCAGCTTCATCTACATGTCGTTGAGTAGTATTTGTTTTTTTGCGTCCGACCGGTCTTCGTGGGCTGGGGTCTCTTCGATGTCTTCCAAGATCTCATCGGTGCCAGTGTTGAGGTCGATGTTAGTTCAAGCATCGAAAACGTCAAACGAACTCGAATTCTAAGAGGTCTTTGATTGTATCTCTGATGATGTTGGTGCTTTAATCCATTTTAGATCTTTTTTTACAATCTCCTATATTTTTCCATACTTAAATATGTGAGTCATTTCGACTTGATATTGCTCCTTCATAACTCTAAACATATCAAAATTGTTTGCACCACTTTGCTTTTGCGAAACAAATTATTGTAGATCCCATCAAACTCGGTGCACCTATCACTTATTGGAGTTCACTTGCTACTGAGCATATCAGTAGTGTGGTATAGAGGTTCAGATGCGTCAGGTGGATTTTATTCACCTATTTTGCTTTTTTTTTTCTCCATATCATTACATTCCATTTAGGCTTAAACTTAAGCATGTTACATGTTTTCCGGACATTTCATGATATTATTTCACTCACACAATTCTATGATATTTCAGGGACTTTTGAATGTGGGATCTCGCTAAGGAAGGTGACTAGAAGGTGAGGACAAGATTTCACGACTTTTGGAGCATGTTGGAAGATGTTGTAGAAAATTATAAAAATAAAAAAAATAAAAAAAATAAAAATAAATAAAAAAACACTCATATAGAGACATCCAGAACTGTGGATTTCTCATCCTGAAATTTCAACGGCCCACGGATTTGGACCTATTCGAGAAATGTACTTCGAAGTCGTGATGTATTTGAGCATCCTACCTATTAAGTGTCCACGGGCCATATTTTCTGTAATAAATATTTCCATCGACTTTAGAAACGTAGACACATGTTTATTGGCAATTTATCATCGTTCCTAACATTATGCCACTTACTTCATTATTGCATATATCGAGTTTTAGGTGAGAAGAAGCGGATTTCTGGAGCAATTTGAGTTTGATTAACACTTAGGAATATTTTATTTCATCTTTCTAAGCACTTTAATTTCATTTTCTAGACTTGGGATTTTGTTCTAACCATGTGTGGATACAACACTTGTTTCTTATATTTTATGTCATGACTTCTTGGTTGTGTTTTCAATCATATGACTTTATGTTTGATTTTAATTCCTATCTAATGAATTCGATTTTGTTTCAATCGAATGTTCGATTCTAATTGTAGTTCTTATTTGCCATTCGAATTAGGGTTTGATCATTCAAGTTATCTAAATTGAAAAATCTATAACTGTTTTATGAATTAGACCAAGTAATAAGCACTAAAATGATTTTTATTGAATTAATTTAGTGTAAACTTTTTCATATATTTTTACGCTCCCAAGCTTGTGAGGTGTATTGAGTATTGTTGGGAACATTCACATCGAATTTAATGCAACATTTTGATTTCTGTCAAAAGGATTATTTAGACTTAAATTAGAAGGTTGGGTTACTTTCAAAGACCCTATTTTGAATTTAACAATTTAGTGAATGAGAAATGTTAGAGCTTGTTAACACTTTCAAGTACCAAATTAAGTAGAATTAAGTAAATATCATGTCATCTTTGAATCACATTGCTAAATTGTCATACATAGAGTTGGAGTCTTTATAAAATCTAAAATTATTTTAACTAATTATCCATTCACTAGTTTCTTTAATCATTTATTCAAATTATTGCATTGAACAACCCCCTTTTTTAACCACTTTGTACCTTACACAAACAGGTATAAGCATTTGCCTTGTGTATCTATGGATCGACCTTCCTTGCCTTGTATTACATTTTAGTCCAATATAGCAGTGTATTTGTATTCATTTTCTACCCCTATCATTTGTTGGATTTGACACCCTGAACAAGTTGGTGTCATTATCGGGGACACAATGTTACTAATTTTTTATGCCTCGATCTTTTTGTACAGGTACACCACTACCTACTGACACAAGGATAAAGAAGACTACAAAGAGGTTACAGAAGCAAGAAAAGCTTCGTAAGAAGCATACTAGTTCTAGGACATCCTCATCATCCAACCCTCTGATCATTAACAATTGGGGGGCATACCCCTCTCAATTGTATCACAAACCAAAACATAAACTCCCTCACTATCACCTCAACCATTATCACCTAGAGACATCACTCCACCTTCGTCGCCTGCTCACAGAATCCTAGATACACCCTCAGATATCTTCATTCCAACTTGTATCATGGATGACCAAGGAGGTAACAACAGCAAATCCACTCTTATAAACCCTTCACCAACGGGTGAGGAAATATGTCACTCAACTACCTCTTTGCGTCACCTATTCGGTTGCAACCAACCATGCATTAATATTCATACTCAATTAACTACTTACAACCTTAAGAGGACTAAAAAAATGAAGACCCCCACAAGTTCTTCATCTAATTCCATGTTGTTTATGTTGGTATGAAACCATACAATGTCATAGAGGATCAAATCATACTTAGGACATTCCCCCTTACAATACATAACTCAACAAAACATCACATCTATGACCTCCACAGGGGACGGTTAACTTGTGGGTATATTCTGCATGATTAATTTTTTGCAGATACTTCCCAGAAATGATGGCTTTAAGTCTACGCGAGGAAATTATAGGGATTAAACAAAGCATGGATGAAGCATTATATGTATATTGGGAAAGATTCAAGAAGTGCTTATGGTATCAAAACATGTTATATCTGAATATAACGATATTTAATAATTATGTGAAGCCATGCTACCCTGGGAGAGACGATTCCTCATTGCTTCAAGTGGAGGGTAAATTGTTGATAAAATCCAACATAAATATGGGAACTTATTAACAATATGGTTGGAGACTCCAAGCATACCTCACACGAAGATAGTTGGTAAATGGACCAACCACAAGGGGTAAGAAAATTGAGTACTATACACACTAAAGCTCGGCTATCCGAGATTACAAAGGCAGTTATGATGCTTTCCAAAGATATAGGTATACAACCGATATCTTCCCCCAACATCAAGTGCGAGATAAATAAAGAAGCAAATGTTTTGGGAGGCTATTCTTGGCTTAATCAAAGAACTTATGATCAACCCCGAGACAATCAAGGGAGAACAATAATCAAAGCATGGGTTATTAACCAAGACAACCACCACAATATGAACGAAATCCACTATTCAACCTCATAATTTTCAATCAAGACAGCCACAACAACTACCTTAACAAGCGGATTCAAATACCTTGTATTTGGAACAAAATATCAAAACCCTTGCTACTAGCACCCAAAGCTTCTAACCAGAAATTAAGGATACCATAAAAAACTTAGAGCAAAAAATGGCACAACTTGCTCAATCTATAAGTAGGATTGAATCACAAGGCATGCTGCCATCTCAAATGTAGAAGAATCTGAAACACAATGAATGTGCTATTACCTTGAGAGGTGGAAAAAGCTATGGTGGCAGAATAATTTCTAATAAAGAGGAGGAAGAAGATGATATTAAGGTAAATAAAGTTCTCATAAAAGATGAAAAGAATGAGACTTCAAAGCTAAACAAGCTAATAGACGACAAAGTGAAAGTAACTCCAGTCCTATTTCTTATAAGGGTAGCAATCACAAAATGAGAGTGAGAAAATGATGAGATCACGATAATGTTCTGAAAGGTTGAAATAAAAATCCCTCTTTTAGATGCTATTATACAAATTCCTAGATGTGCTAAGTTCCCTAAGGAACTTTGCACATCTAAGAAAAAG